TGCCAGACTGCTTACCTACATCCAGTGGGTCTTTGATTTGCATGACTCGTGCACGCATGGTAGCTGTCGGGCAATGAGTATAGTGGTGCAATGGTAGGGTGGTAAATTTAATGACCAAAGGTCCCGGGTTCGAATCTCGGGAGTTCCGACCCTTGATATTAGGCCTGACCGGCTAACGACGGCTAACAAGCCAGAAGGGGGCATTACGGTCTCCCTTTGCTTTGTCGGATCAATTCCACTCATCCTATCCTACTAGTCGCTATGCGACTGCCTGCGCGGACTCTAATGTGAGCTCCACCGCGAAAGGGAACTTATCTGTTCTACTGTTAAATTGCCGATGTCCTCGTACTCAAGTACATTTATCTAACTTTGGCGGTATCTAACCAAACTAAAACTAAATTAAACTAATAAACTAAAAGGTAAAATAAAACTAATAAACCCGAAAGTAACCAAAGGACTAATGGGCTAGGGATATCTAAGGTGCTCCGGCCCATAGGCACCGACTACTTGCCGGATGAGGGTAACGTGTATTAATTACCTGTACCGAGTAAGCTCAGTTTGTGAAGAGTATGGTCGAAGTTGGAAGGTTAGTGGGATACCAAAAGTAAGCAGGTGGCTGAGTAGGCAAATATGCGAAAACGCAAGCATTGTCACAGAAATCGAAATTTATTAGGAACCAGGGACCGATCTAATGCATTTTTAAACAAAATCTCAAAACGAATTTCACATCAGGAGGGACTACTTGAATGTGGTTCTGACATTGATTGGCGTGTGGTATAAGTCCATGCTATTTAAAACACGTCAGACTGCAGTATTTTGAACACTTTTCTTTCTGCCCGCATCCAAAAATCCTACTTGATGCAAACCGATTACTTAAGTGGTTTATATTGTTTTTTTATTGATTTTGGATGACTTTGTAAATTCAAAAAAGCATTTTACTCAGTTCTGCAAATATTATACGCACAGGAAGTGTGTACTTAAGTTCGACTTTCTCTCAATTCCATAATAAGTACGATTGGCCGTTGCATCTACTTTTAAGGTTTCCAATCTAAAAGCTGTATACTTTGCATTGAAGTACAATAATACACTCATCTATGCCATTAAGGAGATTAAATACAAGGTTCATAAAATTGCGCAATGGGCGTGGACTGTGCTGTAAAATTAATGAGGAACACTAACGAACGGATAGATACGATGACAGTTTAATGGACCATGCGCGGTCTTAAAAAGCTCAGAAGTAGAAACTTTTTGTAAAACAGAGAGACATCCCTTCTTTGAGTATGCATTTTGACGACATGGTTTGCTGTTAACTGAGCACAATAGAGTATTCGTGTATATTTGAATATAAAAATAGCATCGAAAATCACTTAAGCAGGCATTCCCCACCAAGTGTGGATTTGCAGACGGCCAAAAAGAACTGCCTTCGAAAGACAACATCCTGCCCTATCTGAAATAACCTCACTCAATATTACAACCACACTTAAATAAACTTTCCTAATGGAAGACTCTTTCCAGAATTTCGGTTAATACTTCATGGGATTGGTCACTGGCTATGGTAGCAACAACTATCTGCAGGCTAGCACCCCACTAAATTCGCAATAGCACAGTGTACAGAACGCCACTTTGTTTACTATTAAGACACCAATATAAGAGAAAATGCAATTCTCGGATAGTAAATGCGAAGAAGCAGATGTTATCACTGGTTTAAGCATTTTATTCGTTATTTTATTCTGCGCGACGGATCCGCAATGGATATCGAAACGTCATTCGAATAAACTTATTGTCCCAGTGATCACATCTGCTTCCTGTCAATGATGTCTTAAGCCGGGAAAAGTCCACAAGGGTTTACACTACTTCCTACAATAGACACTTGGGAACTGCACTGCTAAATGTATCCCTCCTGCCTAATCCCACCCCGTTCGTTGTAACCTCTGCCCCCCAAATATCTAGTGCGACATTCCCAGCCGTCACTTTTCACTGACGACGAACAAGTGATAGCCGTTCGAAAATTCACGGGTAAAACTCGATTTTCGGAAGATCTTTCTTTTCATCGGACCCCTATACGTCCAGATGAGCGATTTGGTTTCAGTGAAACCAAAAGACCCACTGCCACGGCAAGAAACATCTGGAGTCATCTATAGGACCTGTCGCAGTTGCGGAAAAAGCTACTATGCTGAAAAAACTGGAAGACTTTTCAAGACGAAAATTGCCGAACGCGCAGCAGCAGTTCGGAGAAATGACGTAAACTCTCAAGTTGCGGCCACATATTCAAAGTTGATGAGGCCGATAAGAGAAGACTGGTTACGCGGCGGGAAGGGGTTTGGTGGAGCCGGTCAAGGGAAGGGGGCGAGAGAGCACGCGTAAAAGTGCATAAAGTGAAGCGACAGTTGGCCATGCCCAGCATGCAGGTTTTTTTGTGCACACAAGGCCGGCTTTCTCAACCTGATGATGGTCGCTTCTGCTGTTGCTAGCAGAAACTGGCCCATGTCCAGAAAGGTTTACACTACATTCTACAATAGACAATTGTACTGCTAAATGGACCCCTATACGCCCAGATGAGCGATTTGGAACCAAAAGACCCACTGTCACGGCAAGAATCATCTGGCCATGCCCAGCTCTGAGCTTGCAGTAGGTTCTTTTGTGCACACAAGGTCGGCCTTCTCCACCTAACAGTGGTCGCTTCTGCTGTTGCTAGCAGACACTGGCCCAAGAACTTGGGGTAGTTTGATGTGATTTATAAAGTTCCACCAAACTGCCCCGCGTCCCTGGGTCAGCGCCTGTTAGTAACAGCAGAAGCGACCATCATCAGGTTGAGGAGGCCGGTCTTGTGTGCACAAAACAATCACCGGCAAGCTCCGAACCTGACATGGTCAGCAGTCGCTTAACTGCATCCACTTTTCTGCGCTTACTCTCTCCCTCCTCCCTTCCCCTTGAACCGGCTCCACAACACCCTCAGCACCGCCTAGCCAACCTCCTCTTATCGACCCCCCTTTCCATTGTCATGACTCGCATGGATGAAATAACGATAGCAATTGACCGCATGTTTTACCTTTGACCCTGTTCCCATGTAAATGGACCGGATCGATGAGCATGAATCGAAAGCTTACGCATGCTCGCCAACTGCTCTTTTGAGTTTTCCGATGAGAATTATGCCACTTCGAAGTTGTACGCCTGGGCCTTCTCTTAACGTAAACCTTTATTACCCCGAAATTAAGCGCATAGTCACCTGCATTACAAGCAACTCCTGTTCTCATGTCCTGCCAAGGGCCATATAAGCATTTCTGTCAAGTGTCGGAGTGTTCCTATATACACGTATGGCTAAAACAAACCATCGGCAACTATCGCCAAGGCTGGATGGACATCCAGTCATGTCATTCAGTGCGATAAGATGCCTATGATCCGCCTGAGAGAGAGTCCATATCCGGTTTACGTAGGCTCGCCAGCTGCTCTTTCGAATTATCTGATGGGAATTTTGGCAACTTTAAAATACTAAATAACTAACGATGCAGACAAAATAGGGAACAGCAATCAGATTTCTCCCGCCTATTATTATGTGCGACACTGCTATCTGATTTCCTCAAGATAAATGCCCAGTTGGGTAAGGAATCTATCAAAAGTTTTAGTGAAAATCGAGGAAAGCGAGTGTATTATTGTAAGTGAAATTTCTCGGGAGAAACCGATAAAATAAATCAAATGGTTTTTTTTTTCGTTGCACTAACATACCCGGAAA